CTACTGATTTTAATGTGACCTTCAGTGTCTAAACCAAAATTGCAGGAGTCTCCTGCACAGCTGATGGAAGCACTTAGGCCATCCGCTAACTGGAGAATACAACTACAGGTAAGGAGTGGAGAAAAGCAACTGATCTGAAGGAGGAAAAGACGAACAGACCACAGATTAGGAAAAAATGCACTAGGACTGATCCTCTTTAGATTCCTTTATGGCTGTGAGATGTATTTTTGGAAGAAGAAAGAGAAAAGGTGTTGGAAGCTGAAACTGTTGAATTATCATATCAAAAAAAAGAAGGAATTCCCTTACATTTGACAGCAGTGAGGCAGAAGAGGAGGAAGACATGGTGGTATCAGGCTTCTTACTGCAAAGTTATGAAAATAACACTTGGTCAGTAAAGCCCCATCTGACACAAGAGAGTGCTGGGGTGGACACGCAAGCATACTTTTACAAAGAGCTGTGGCAGGGAAAAGAAGGTGAATTTAAGTTGCCGGTTTGGAAGTCTCATTTTCTTTTACATATTTTTTATATCCCCTTCCAGATATTGGTCAGGAAGGACCTACATTTTCCTCACACTGTAGCAGTATCTAGGAAGAAGAGATGTCACCTAAGATCAGCGAGCAAAGATGGTGACTCGGCAGGTCTACATTTTTCTACAGCTTATTTTCAGTCAGAGTCTGTTTACAAGTCTTTCCAGTTTAAAAATTCTTAAGTATCTCTCTCTTACACTAAAGTAAACAGTGCGTCAGCAGGCGTAGTTTAAACTGAATTGAGGGTTTTAATTGGTATTTGTAAAAATAAGGAAGTTTTTGAACCAACTGTGGGTATTACAACTCCACCTTGAAGTCTAATCCGAGAGCAGGGGTGCTAGTGTTGCGTAACGACAAAAATAAACACGACGAGAGACCTACTGTTACTTAAATGTGGACAAGTTGGACCAGCTGTGTAACAGTCAATGCTTCTACAGTAATAAATGTTGACAGCAAAAATAAAAAGAATGCATTACTGAGACATCATCAAATGAGCCCTGTCATTACATGGAAACTCCACCCTGTATAAGCTTGTCAAAAAGTGTTACTGTAATCCTTTGAGAAGCCTCCTCCTCAGGCAATGGAGAAAAATGTTCAGGATTGGCCCAGAACAGGTGTGTTGTGCTGTAATGCCAGGATTTAATCACGTATCTCTTCACATTAATCTCACAAAGGAACTAACCCGGACCTATTTGGGCCCATCATGCCACGCTCAGATGATTATTTAACTATCCAATTAAAGTAAGCAAGCTGACAGCGTGTTTAAAAATGGACATTCCAGGGTGTACAGTACTTCACAATTATTATTTGTCTTCCTAAGTCCAGCACCAGGCACTGACACTTAAGAGGAACTGATACTATGTGCTCTTTTCAAAGTTAGTCCCCAAAAAATCTCAGTTCACACCTTGATCAGCAAATGGCAGAAGCTGGTTGTCCCTGCTCTGAGAGACCCTCTTTCGCTTACAGAAGAAACTCCTTAGTGGCTTTTATCTCCTCTTTACAAAAATCCCCAACCCCACTGCCTGAACAGTAGTTGAGGTATCAACATTTGTAGTGTGGGCCAGAGGAGCAAACATGGTTAGAAAAGGAAAATATGTCCATCAGATGTATGAAATCATTAGTGTAGCCTCAAAGTAATTCTGCATACACAGGCTGAGGCTGGGCTTCAGACCCTAGACCTGACTGCGCTGACAAGGGTGGGACTGTATCCTGGCCAACTGGCCTTGCTGCTGTTGGTGCCACTGAACCCACCATTTAATTATCCATTGGCCACTTCTTATCCAAAGTGCCACATGAGCACAATGTAAGCACATGGCTGATCGTATTTCATTATTTGTGGCTTGTTACTATGGCAATTTAAGTAGCAAACTTATAAAAACAGACAGCACGACAGCTAGACCACGTATCTACAATGGCACGTCAACAGTGTGGTCCAAAAGAGGCAGGACGTTTCCAAAATGTCATCTGGGCAGCAAGCAACAGGCCCAATGGTTCATGACTGACCCAGAAGCCTTGGAGAGGCAGGGAAAAGAATGGGGCAGCAGACTGATCTCCCTTTAAGAAAGCTTGGGAGAGAAAATGGGTGCCTAAATTACACACCACCGTACCTCAAGACAGGTACGTTGGATTACTATGAGTACACATATGCATCTCAATGTTTTTAAGGTATTTCTTTGGAGATGATGTAAGAAAAAGCTTAACACAATATACAAATCCAAAAATTAAATCCAATTGCTGGTTAAATGACGCTATTTTAGCACTTGACATGATAGAAATATGCCCCAAATTTGCCTGATGGAAGTTTTATGAGGCTACACCAGTAAATTTTACTAATACACGGATACAAAAGCACAGGATTTAGCTAATCACGCTATTACCACCAGCTAATGCAGCGACTCACTTCGCTCAGGTGAGATAAGTTGGTGACGCTGTTCTGAGCATCCTGCCTACACCACCAGTTGATGCTCAGTGACAGGGAACTGACTGTAAAGCGACGCCTGAACAGCTGCAGCCAGCGTCATGGCGAGCACCTGTACCATTAGCTGGCAGTGGTAAGAGTCATCCTGTACCGAAATAACCATCAGAGGGCACTGCAAAACATGCTGTGCTAAACAGAATTATGCAATAGCTGTGTTGGAAGCTTTCATGTGCATGCAAGTTAAAATTCCACAGTGGAGAAGTTCAGCTGCATAAACTGACTCATTAATGATTTCATGCTGTTATTTACAAGTGTTTCCATTTCTATTTCTCTCTCACACACACTTCTGTTTACAGCAAAGCTATATAGATGACTTCTCTTTTTAAAATACAAAAGAATTTTCTGCTTATCTTCTTGTGGTTTTATGATGACTTATTGTTGCTATTAAGAAAACAGTAACAGAAACCGGACTCTGTATCCTGTTTGCTATTGTAGTATTTGGGGAAAAAAATTGCACCAACTGCAATAAGATCTTAAAAAAGAAAAGGTGTTGATGTTTGAACACTTGCTGCTGTCAAGTACAAGACACACAAGAAAGCTACATGTTATGTAGCAAACCACAAAAAGACTATTTTTTTCAGGCTAAAGCCCTCTATTGAGTACAGACTGCTTGTCAAATAGTCCATCTCTGGAGTAGTAATTTCATAAAGCAAGGTTATTTTTTTGTTTTTAAACTTCCTGCTTCAAAGGTGAAAGTGTCTGAGATCACCTTTTCAGTGTGCTTGTAACAAGTGGAGCCAAGGTATAAGTAAATATCCTATTTGTGTATAGAACCCATAGCGTCTGGAAACCTGCTCCCAAAGTTTATGAAATTTTCCATTAGTTTTCTGAATGTCAAAGTGTGTTAGAAAAAACTCCTGTTGGGGAAGAAATGTCACTGGTGCTCTCAGTGACAGAAAAACAAAAGGAAGTGTGAGAAAAGACTACAGAAGAGTTGGACAAAGGTAGATTTTAGAGGAACGTGTGAAAATTAATTTTCCATTCTCCCTACACACTTAAAAGTAAGCAGAGCACCTAGAGTAAGAAGCCAGGAGACGTCCATATCACCACTGTGGGGACATACATTACTGGACTGTCACTGTTCTTGGCCATCCAGGGAAGGACCCACAGCAGCTCAGGGCACAGAAGCCAGTTCCCGGTTCTGCGATCAAGGCCTCAAGGCTACTGAGTCTTCTCTTTCTTTAAGCTTTGTCCCCCTTACACTCAGATTTTTCTCAGTTGCAAACCCACCTGGTTTTATCCTCCTAGGACAGGTTTAGCACTATCTGACCTGCCCCCACCTTTTTCTCTCCTAAATACTGATCTCCCCTGCTCTGGACAACTGTTCTGGTCTCCTGTCCTCCCTCTATTCCACTGCTGTCACTCCTACTTCTAGTTCCTTCTCCTATCCCTTATTTGCTCTTATCTCTTTGCCCTTATATCCTTTTCTTTCCTTCTGTTTTATTTATTTCTATCAGTTTTTATAGTTTCCAGTTCTGAACCTTTCTTGGAACTCATCTGTGATGTGAATTTTACCTTCTTATCAAAGCATTAAAACACCCCATACCCAACATATTCCTGTTAAAATGCAATAAAAAATTCAATTATATCGTGCCTTGGATTTTTCTTGTAATCCTCATATTAAAATTTGTGTTCAGTATTAACAAAATCAAAGTCAATTTCTTTACCAGTGAATTACAGGTAGCATAAATAAAGAAGAAGAAAAAATGAACTACAGATATTGTGCAGATACCGTGCCTTCACATTATTATAACCGTAATCGGTAAATCTCGTACTAATGAGATACAAGATTTAAATGTGAAGAGTGTGTTTAGTGAATTATTGTCAATCGATGTCTATACAACAGGATAAGAATAATCTTGAATGGCAACACACCTATTATTATAAATTCCTAACTAAGTACTTCATTACTTCAAAATGTCACTCTCAATTTATAGAGTAACAGATAAACATCTCTCAACTGTATACCTCACTGTGTCTACTCCTATGTAATTGAAACACTGTTTTTGAAAAGTCTTGTCATCACTTACCCATTCTGCGTTGTTCTGAATGGTGATTCAGTACTGGTGTAGTTCTGGTTAAGGTTGCTTTTCAAACCCCTTTTAAACGTATATATTTAAGATATATCAATCTAATCTCTTTTTGTTTTCTACCTATGACTTGAAGCTGGTCATTGGGAAAAAAACTGATTGTTGTTTCCTTGTATGAGCATATTAAGCTCTATAATACCACCGTAAATATAAATGGTTACTCACGACTAATATTCAGAAAAAGGAAACAAACTGAAAATGACAGTAAACCAATAAGGAGGAGTTTTTTTGAGAGATCCAAATAAACACACAAAGGAGACTTAAAAAATTTTAATCTCTGATGATGGAAGAGACACTAAAACACAACATCCCCAACTTCATTGGCTAAAGAAACATCCAGTTAATTTTGTGTCCCCCGTGTTTTGTGGAAGCCAGGAGGCATCTGCAGTAACTTTCAATGCTCACCTCATCCTTTATGTCTTCCTGCTGCTGGGCACTGAAGATCTCCATTGCAGCCATCAGCCTCATCATTAGCTCATCCACTGTTGTGTTACCTAGCAACAAAGGAAGATAGCTGAACTTCGTATCATTAAAGTTATTAAACAAGAAAGAAGTCATTTTAGAATGAATCCATAAGAAATAGCCAGACTTCAGGAAAAAAAAAGACAGAGTAGAAAATGCAAGTATCTCAATAGAATGCTTTTAGCTTGCCTATTTATTGAAAATTTGAAATTGTTTTTACAAACAAATGTTGATCATAGGCTAAAATTTTAGGTGGTTCAAATCTGAACAGTTGCTTTTGTGCTTGCATTATTTTTATTTTTAATCACTGATGTTAGGGGAAAGGTTTATAACCATTCCTATATCTGGGGTTCCCTGACATGAAATTGGTTTTACATTTTTAGAATTCCCAGGTATAATCAGGGAGACTGAAGCAATTGCTTAGTCAGGTAACAAAAGGTAGGATGTTGGCAGCAGCATCCAAGTGGATTGGTTTAAAAAAAAGGGGAAAAAAACTCCAGAATACTGTGATGAAATGGATGTGTGCACATGCAATTTTTTTTCAGGTATAACTAGTAGTAAAATGTAGTAGTAGTAAAATATTATAATATATTCTCTTCAGTGTATTTACTTCTGATAAAACCTGTAAAGCTAATAATAGGAGTAGAAAAGTAAGTCATCTGTGTACATATCAAGGAATACCACACATGCATAGAAGAATAGATTCCTCCTCACATTTTTCTACCAGCGTGCCTCCAGTCTTCAGTAAGACCAAAAGATTAGTTTAATTTCCTACAACATGCACTCAAATCTTTGTTTTATTTTCTTAAACTGAAGACTGGAATACCCATTAGAGCCACTTGTCATAGTAGTTAAAAGGTCTTAGACCATGAGAAATGGTCTAAAACTAAAAACTCTTAACACCTGCCAATCTAAACAGTTTTTGGACATTTGCAGAACAATACCAACAAGAGCTAGATTTATATTGCTGATGCTGGTCAAAATTTTAAAAGGAGTAACTAACCAGAAGCCACAGTACCACTAAAGAAAACAAAACTGTCTCCATAGTTTCCAACCCCAGGAAAAAATAAAAATCGAAAGCAAACTTAGGCAGTCTGCGTTTCAATAAACGCCACTGGGACTTAAGTTTCTATACTCTTGTATCTCTTCTGTAAACATGCCTTCTCACCCAGCCCTGAAAAGCCCCCATTGTTCCTATTTCTAGCATTTGCTACCTTAGCAGAAAATGTTATCCCGCATGCTACAACATGCATGACTTCAGAGACTGCCATTCATTTGAAGGTATACTGTTGAAAGATACCAGCGTCCCCATTCATGGGAAAATAACAAGCACAGCACGTTTGATTTTTGTTAAAAGATAAACTTAAGTAAGGCTGCAACAGATGATCAGTTTAGTTTAGTTCAAAAGATTGTTTGCAGAAAACCTGAAAAATCATTAAAACTTAATGAATGCAATTAAATAATTTGGATTATTTTATAATAGAAAGCTGCATTATATTTTGACTTTGAGACACCAAGTTGCTAAAACAGTTAAGTAACTTAAGCCAGTAAGCACCACTGACTTCAGTGGGATAACACAGGTGCTTAAAGTTATACACATGCTGAACTATGCTGCAGAGTTATGAAAACAAGAAAAAACTATTTATGAAAAGTTATTTGTATGAAATAAGTTTTCTAAGTGATGGAAGTACCATGAATTAGTGTTGTGCTGTACCTTGCACTAAGGAGACAAAATCCATGCAAAATTCACAATTTTGGCCATAGGAAGGAGCACTGCAGGTTCCTCAATAAAATTATTCATCCCATATGCAGAAACAAACAGTAATGCTGTCTGCAAAAGGCAGTATCTCCTGAGGCTGAATTTCCTCAGGAAAATACAGAGATTAGAATAAAGACTGCTAGATGATAAATAAATGAGGACACAGCATCATGAAGGCGAACTTGTGGAGGAAGCAGAATAAATGAGAGGCAGCCATTCTTTGATATATTTTAATTTGAAGAGTTACTGAGAACAGCAGTCAAAGGGCATCACTCCAGATCTAAGTCATCTTGCTGTCATTGAAATCAGAAGAGTGGTTATGCCCGACAGAACTGCTCATGTAAGCCAGAAAGCTTCACTTATGTGAGATTATATTAGCAGCTTAGAAATCTGATCCGATTTGGGGTCTCAAAACTGCAGGCAGGTCTGAAAAAGCAACTCATGTTCAAATATTAGCCCACTACATGCAACAGGAGTCCACATGTTAACAAGGAACTATACAGAGAGAACTAAATGCATTCTGGCCCTACACAAGAAGTACAGCCAAAATCTTTTGGAAATCAGTAATTTATATGGATATAAATTTGGAAAATGAAGTGTAGCTCCTTATGTAGGAGATGTGCCTTTTACTGTAAAAAACCTGAAAAACTTAAAATATGATTCTACTACAGTCATGGCAACTTCAATCTCTAATACCATGTTAATTAACACATTTATGAATAGTAGCTATTTATACCATGGCAACTGAAAGTTTCTTGTGTGAAATAAATTCATATTCTGAACATCTTAAAAAAGAAACGGTTAGCAAAGATGTCTTCTAACAGTTTCAACACTCATATAAGAACTACTTTTAATACAAAGCAAGAACTGTACCTTGAATTACATTCAATACTTCATTAGATGATCGTTTTCCCATAATAATAAGGAAAAGTGGAAACTGGTCTGTCTTCTGAGTTCGAATTGTTTGGGCTACAACACTCCCGAAGTGTCTAGTGCACATCGTCAGAAACCTATGTGTGGAAAAAAAAAAAGTTAACATTGTAGAGGTGTTTTTGAAGTTAGTTTTTAGGGGGGGAAAAAAAAAAAGCTAAATTCAGCACTTTAACTAAGTGTTATCTACTGTTTAACATCTAGGCTTCTGCATTCAATTCTAGAGCTCTTTCTCCCTTTTTATGATTAAATTATAAGAATATTTACAAATACGATAGATCCCAGATTATCTAACTTAAAACAATTAATAACTGGTTGAGACAGTGTTTTATTTGACGGAGAATTCCACTTCTTGTTACACTATTCTGCAGGCTATAATTCAAAACGAACCCCTCCTAAATAATCATGCTAAATCAATTGTTAAAAGCTTCTAAAGAGAAACTAAGTAGACCCATAACCTAGTAAACATGATGAAGTATAAAAATAGTATAATTTCATACGAAAGCATAATTTAATAATGAAAGATCAAGAAAATTGTTTTTATCAGTCATAGAATTAAAACGTGGTACTTCAGAATTGTATTTTCTTTTGTACCGGTGCCCTGCCAGTGACATACTTAGCAGTGTGGTCTAAAAACAATAATTCTAAGCTTTTGACCAAAAAAGCTCTTGGATATTAGCATACAGAAGTCTAGCATTAGTATTCTTAACACGATCTCGAATAAATGAAAAAACTGATAAAGCTTTTCTCTTCCATTAGAGGACTGTTTGAAATTAGCATTTCTTTCAAGAGAAAAGGGTAGCTTATGATATGTTTTCAGATCTGATGGTAAAAAGTAAATGTCATAATAATAATGAATTATGAAAGACCAAATGCAAATATAGAATGCTTTAATAAGATCCAATTTAATAAAGTCTGTAAAAATAATGGACTTTTAATAACACAGGTCACAAAAGGCAAAACAGTGGAAATTCTGAGGACTAGCCACTGGTACAGGCTTATTAATTCTTAATTATGTTCATGAAAGGCAACTTAAATCGTGTGTTTTCTTATGCCTTATGATAATATTTTAGGTAACAACTACTCTGAAATGTATGCTCTAACTGAAGAGCAAAGTCCTGTTGTCACATGCATTAGAAGCCAAATCTATTTGAAAAGACAAACTGCATTAAAATGTCAAGCGCTCCAAGTAATTTCTTCTTAAAGACACTGAAAAGATTCAAAATTGTACTTTTTTTAATCAATATACATTGTATCTAATAAAATGGCTAAAAATTTATAAGCCTGATGAGTACAACATTGGGCTTGTTCGAGGCACCTGAAGTATTAAAAAAAAAACCCTGCTCAGAGACAATTTGTAGTGTAACTATGGCCATAGCTGGATGGAAGGCAATGAGCAGGGGTAGCTAGCGAGTATTTCGAAGCCATAAATATTACTGGCAAATACCTTTCCTTGCCTCCTTGATTCTCTGACTTTTGCAATTCAGAACTATCACACAGAAAGACAATGTCAAAAATGCCAAATGGGGACTGCTATATCAGAAATAGCTACGTAGAGACATACCATCTGGTAAAGATAAAATAAAGTGTCCATAAAGTCTGGACATATAAACTCTTAAGCTAAATAATGTTTTTCTGATTTTTGTTTTTCAAGGTGGGAATACATAAGTGAAATCCTGGCCTCACAGAAGTCAATGGTGATCTTTCATGACCAAATGACTTATGTGCGTTCAAGGTTTCACTCCTAAAAGTAATAAAGACAGGGGTCAACTGAACTGAATTCCTGAAACTTGTGTATTAAAACCATTTAACAGTCTTCAACACACCATGGAAGAAAAGCACTCAAGTTTCATGTAAAAACAAAGTATTTAACTGGAGGTGAAAAAGTGCTGTAGAGAATACTGCTAGAAGGAACGAAACTAAGAGACTATTACAATGCTAGTTGCACTAGTCAAAGGTGTTGGCTTGGTTTGGGTTTTTTTTAAATCAATTCTGTATTTAGTCAACCCATAACTCAGTCTTAGAATATGCCTTTATAGGTATGGATTTTGTACACAGAGAATTCTGAATGAAGTAGGTATTTCAGTACGTTAAAAGATCTCCAAATAATTTTTCTCCAGGAGATGAATTTTTATACATGGAACTTCTGGCTGACTACATAGAACCTAACAGACTATGATACCTTGGGATCCTCTATAATCAAGGCTGGGAACAGGTTTCAACTCCATGGCTTCAGAAGATGGCATGTCATGCCAGGCTGTTGTAAGGGTACACATACTTTCCTGGTTGAGTAACAGCAGAAGACATGCCGGATGCCAACATCTCCCATCACAGTGGGTTTTTTTTTTTCTTGGGGCCACTTCTTAAAGCCCCTAGTGCCATCTGCCCTGTTCTTTCAAATCTCCTCCCTTCCTCTGCTGCTGTTGCAATCTGCTCAGCTCGCAGGGAAAGGGGCCAGCTCGCTCATGTACCAGCTACAAGAGCAGCACACGCCAATTCTGACCCGAATGTCACAGATTTGCCACCACTGCCATCAGGCAGCCTTTGTCTTTCTGGGGGGAGGAGAGAGAAACAACTCTTCTTCCCAGCACTTCCAACTTTGAATAATGAATGTCCAGATTGCAGCACGGGCAGCTGCGATGAGGATGTTCCTGGGGGATGAATGACCAGCTGGTGGTTATCAATGCATATCTTCAGAGCGAATACGCAAGAAACTCTCCTCACTAACATGATCCGTCAAAATAGATCCTGCCCTTTAGAACCAAGTAAGACCCCACTTGTCTCTTGAACTAAAATGTAGTAAAGCCAACAAAAATGTGAAGGTAGCCAAATGATGCAACACTGAATAAAGAGATAGCAGCAGCAATCTCCAACACCTACACCACGTAACTCCTGTTCACCAGTGATTACTCGCTCACACACATGATCTTCGCCAGGTCAGTGGTAAGTGCTCAGCAAATACTTGTAACATGTCTCTTCATTTTACTAGATGGGTAGGAATTGAATTTTCATTCATGATCCCCATTTAGCTTTTCCTCATGCCTTTTAATAGATTTTGCAACTACTTAACTGATTTTGCATTTTTTTTCCTTTTCTGCCTTTACTGATTCTGTATTTGCAGACCTTTTTACTTTCTTCCACATTCATAGCCAGAAAAAAAAAAAATCTCCTGTGCTAACATTTACTGTCAGAAGTATGGGAGTAGGACCAAAACAATTTGGTGCGATAACCAGCATCTTACTGTGTACAACACTAACAAGGGATTTTCTTACTTTCATCTAAACAGAAGTGTGCCAGATCTTTCAGTGGCATCTCCAGAGCTGCCAAGAGAACTGCCTGTGGAGTGCATCAAAGAGCCAGATGTCCCTCCAGGGAGAACTGTTTTCCACAACATGCTGGATTACTGTGATCTCCAACCAAAAGTGGAAATAGAGGAACGCTGCCAGAAAGGGACGGCAAATGGCACCCTACTAGTCCTTTTATTTTTAAATTACAAAAATATTCAAGGAGGGAGAAGGATGAGAAAGGCAAAAAAGCATTTTATGAAGGAAAAATCCATTAAAAAAAAAAAAATCTCGAAAGATACAAGAATAAAGTTCATCAAGAAAAGTAATAGTTTTGGCAGACAGCATCATTTCTTTACTTCTTTCATGACTCGCTAGCAATGAAACCAGCAGATATGAAAGCTACAGAATAAACATGGACACTGAGCATGGCTTGACAAATACAGAAACAAATCCTAAAAAAATGACAAACTTATCTTAAATGTAGATTGAACAGGTATTAATTCTTAGACATAGTTCACTCCTTAGTTAAAAGCGGCACACAGGGAAAATCTTTCTAGTGAAGTGAAGGTGTTAATCTGGGGGGTTGCTGATCACTGCACAGCCGTTACCCTCCATGTGCATAGCCTGTGTGGAGAGTTATCATGTTTGTAGCATGTTAGTTTCCCAGAGAAGAATGTTATCATTCCCTACCAGCTAATATGTGACATGTTTTTTTAAAATACACTCCTGGCATAACTTTGTTGTAATTTTATCATAAAATGCAATTTATTTAATATTACTTAAAAAAAAACACCTAGAAGGCAATTATGAAAAAATAACAGCTTTAAAAATCTGCTGAAAAAAGCTGAAAATATTACTAAGTCTCAAAACAAAAGGGAATTCTTATTACAACTTAAGTTTGCAGTCTACCATAGCTCCTGATCTCAGATACACTATGTAGAACTTTGTAAATGCTGGGGTTTAGCAATAACATGTTTCTGTGAGAACGTGCAGCTTTTAATTTTTAACAACAACATTGGCCACCTCTGGCCAAAGTGCTGATCATCAAAAGTGTGATCTCGGAGCTCAATATTTTTTGATCTCAGGAAAGCTTTTGATCTATATGATACCTATTCACACCACAAAATATGTATTGCCTTTTTGGGGGGGGAGCCCAAAGGAGAAAGCCAACCCCTAGGTGGGAGATGGCAGCTGGTCCCGATGGGAGGTGTTTCATCATTACAATGACTGGTATTATCTCACTGTTTCTTTAAGTATCTCCTGCTCTTGTATCATGTTGTTTCACATTTTTGTTATTCAGATGGACAGGATCTACTGCAGTCAAGTTTTGATCCGTGATTACACACGATCCCTCCTTACCACACCATGAATATGAACAAACAAAAAAGCTATGATGCTACATACTTTAGAAAAACATAACTATCCCTTTAGTATTTCAATTTAAACAATTTAGGAAGCTAAGAGCATCTCTGGTGCCCAGTCCCTAAAGGGGGCACAAGGCAGAGGCGTTCATTGGCTCCCAAACTGTCATGTTGTATTTTCCAGCGTGAACTGGTTCAAAGTGATTCCTACTCTTACCTAGTAGAGGAAGAATTTACAAAGAATTGAAGAACCGAAGAGGAATTAACGGAAGAACTTAGCAAAGAATTGACAATTCTGAGCAATGAGTCCTCTGCATTTCTGTCAAAAATCATAGCGCAACGCAGCACTGCTGCCTGCTGCCCTTGGCCTTGATCCAGAGGAAGGACTCTGAAAGAGCAGAGGAATTCAGTCTCTCTTCTCTTTCCACTCAG